AGCACGAGAGGGAAGAGGGTCAGAGGGAGAAGCAGACCCCCCGCTGAGCAGGGAGCCCAATGTGGGACTCGATCCCGGGACTCCAGGATCATGACCTGAGCCGAAGGCAGTCGCTTAACCAACTGAGCCACCCAGGCGCCCTCTCCTTCATTTTTAAAGCTAGTTTTGCTAGATATGGGATTCTTGATCAAGAGTCTTTTTCTTTGTGGCCTCTGTGATTGCTCATGAGAAGTCAGCTGTTAATCTTATTGAGGATTCCACGTAACTGATGACTTGTTTTTTTTCTTGTTGCTTTCAGGATTGTCTCTTTTTCTTTGACTTTCAACAGTATGGCTATGATGTATTTAGGTGTGAATCTCTGGATTTATTCTACTTGGAATTTGATTTTTTTTTGGATGTATACAATGTTTTTCACCAAATTTGGGAAGATTTTAGCCATTATTTCTTCAGATATGTTTCCTACCCCTTTTTCTCTCTCCTCTCTTTCTGCATTCCCAATATGCCTCTGTTTGTATGTTTTATGGTGTTCCACATGTTCATTTTTCTTTATTCTTTTCCCTTTCTGTTCCTCAGACTGGATAATCTATAGACATTTCATCAAGTTTGTTGATTCTTTTTCTCTGCCAACTCCAATCTGCTGTTCAGCCCCTATAATGAATTCTTCATTTCAGTTACTACACTTTGCAAGGCTAGAATGTCTATTTAGCCCTTTTAAAAACTTTTAATCTCATTATTGATATTCTCTCTTTGGTGACACATTGCTGTCCTACTTTCCTTTAATTCTTTAAACATACTTTCTTTCGGTTCTTTGAACTTATCCACAGCAGCTGATTTTTTTTTTTTTAAGATTTTATTTATTTATTTATTTGACAGAGAGAGAGAAACAGCATGAGAGGGGATAGGGTCAGAGGGAGAAGCAGGCTTTCCGCCGAGCCGGGAGCCCGACGTGGGGCCCGATCCCAGGACCCCGGGATCACGACTGAGCCGAAGGCAGATGCTTAACGACTGAGCCACCCAGGCGCCCCTACAGCAGCTGATTAAAAGCCATTGCTGCTAAGTCCAACACCTGAGCCCTCTCGGGGACAGTCTCTGCCTATGGGTTGTTTCTTTCCCTTCTGTAATGGGACATGTTTTCATGCTTCTTTGCCAATTTCATAATTTTTTAGTTGAAAACTAGACATTGTAGATAATATATTGTAGCAACTTTGGAATTAGACTCCTCCCCCCAGTAGGGTTTGCTGTTACTGCTGGGCTCTTTTTTTTTTTCTTCCCTTGATGCTGGATACTTGATTAGTGACTTTTCTGGACTAATTCTGTGGGTGGGGGTGGGGTCCTGTGTTCTCTGCAGTGTGTGGCCACTAAGTGCTCTATTCCTCTTCTAAAAATCCTTGTTTTTATTTTTAAGTCTGTCTTCCCAAGGGTCATCCTCAGGTTAGCAAGGTTAACGGTCAATCAGTTATCAGTCAGGACGTTTCTTTAAATGCCTTCAGTCTCCACCTTCTGTCAATGAGATCGAATTGCAGGCAATCCACAAGTCAGCCTTAAGCTTCCACTTTTGCTTTTTGTACAGGTCTCAAGGCCAGCCAGAAGTGAAGGACCCAGTCCTTTCTTTTCCCAGGTCTTTCCTGAGCATGTGCATGTCCATATGCAGTCTCCCAATCCCCAGGAACATGCTAGGTTTTTTTCAAACTCCCTGCAGGCATTGAGTGTAGCTAGTCTTCTGTTTGCCCCAGTTGAGATCACAGCCTTGGCAGCTCCCACAAGCAAGAGTCCAGCCATCTGTTATTTTTGGTCATGGTCTGGGAAGACGACTTTTCCAGGGAGCTTCACCATCAGTCAGAATAATGTTTGCACTTTGGGGAAGGGGTTTTTAACAGAGCCCCAAAGAGGCCAGTCTCCTTCACTGTCAGTGAAGCTGCTGGATTTCCACAGCTATGCTCCAAGGAGCTGGGGGAGGGGCATGGGAGTAGAGCCCACTTAAACCACCGCAGGTCCTGCTCTTCTTAGCAGGGTCCAATTTTTCTTGAATAAATGCTTTTCAGTTTGTTCTGCTTCTTTGGTGAAGAATTTCCAGATTGTGAAATGATTGATTTGATAGTTTTCTCAGTATTTTTGTTGCTTTTTTTGGGAGTGCTGACTCACTGAGGCCCTCCCTCCGACACTTTGGAAGTCCTGCCTCTCTTCCTGTCCTTCTTGAGCTATCAAAAAGTGCCTCGGATAATGACCAAGAATTCTCTGACCAAGAAGAAAATACATGACAGTCCTCTTTGGCTTGCAAGGCCAACTCACACTTGAAAGCCAGACTTTGAAGCAGGAATCTTTGTGCATCACATCTCTAGTAGAGAAAAAGTACTCAATAATAGAGCCAAACCTTGGTAGAGTAGAGAAACTGTTTAAATCAGAGCTGGCAGATCCCTGTGGTGCTCCTGGCTGGTCACTTGTCCTGTGCGATTGTGAGCAGGCCAACTAATATGTGTCTGTAAGCCCCGACTCCTCTGTCCATGGGGTTAACGTTGGAAGTTCTGGCCATGGGACTGTTCTAAGGTTGAAAATGTAAATTAAGAGGATATATGTAAAAAGTCACTTTGAAAAGTACCAAAGGCCATACATCCAGTCCTGTTACTGGGATTTGGGTTTTCTGTTTGTTGACAATGATGTGACATGCTAGATTGGGGAGGACTTTCTCAGCTCTGGTGGTAAGATAATTACTATGATTCCAAGCCTCCATGTTCTTCTCTGCCTGGACTTGATAGACATCTGTGAGCCAATGATTCAGTGTTCCTTAGGGATCCATATGTAAGAATACACTTTTGTATCAAGAAGCTCACTTGAGAGTGTCCGTGCCTAGCTGGCTCTCTGCCTGGCACCCCAGGGGCAGGAGAGCCAAGTGCCTGGCTTGAGCTACAGGGCCTGGGCTGCTCTTGCAAAACACAGTTGTCCAACAGATGTAGACAGAGCCCTCCACTGCCCTGGTCACCACTCTCCCCAAAGAGACGCCTAGCTCTGATGGTCTATCAGCAGCTGTGCTTCCTGAATGTGGCCATTATGCTTTTAAATGCCTTGCTTTATGGCTTCATGCTCTGATGACGCAGCACAGTGGTGTGCTACCTGCTGGCTCACAGATCTGAAGGCATCTGTAAAGAGTGCCCATTCTCAAGTAAGCAAGCTCCACAAGCATCAGAGAAAGGAAAGGCACAGAGCTCAGGCCAGCATCGCACAACTTCCTCAAGTGAAGAGAGAGTCATTTAAAGAACATTTGGGGGCGGCAGCAGGTCCCGACGCGGGGCAGCCAGCGATGAAGCCGGTGGTTCCAACTTGGAAATAAGAAGAAAGCCTAGTTCATTGCAAACAAGTGAGTTTGACTCATCAGACGAAGAGCCTATTGAAGATGAACAGACTCCAATTCAGATATCATGGCTACCCCAGTCACGAGTGAATTGTTCTCAGTTTCTGGGTTTATGTGCTCTTCCAGGTTGTAAATTTAAAAATGTTAGAAGAAGTATCCAAAAAGATACAGAAGAACTAAAGAGCTATGGTATACAAGCCATATTTGTTTTCTGCACCAGAGGGGAACTGTCAAAACACAGAGTCCCAAACCTTTTGGACCTCTATCATCAGTATGCAATCATCACTCATCATCATCCAATCCCAGACGGAGGGACTCCTGACATAGCCAGCAGCTGCGAAATAATGGAGGAGCTTGCAATCTGCCTTAAAAATAACCGAAAAACCTTAATACAGTACGTTTTTCTTTTCTCCATAAATGACATGAGAAATGCTCCAATCAAAAAAAATAAAAAATTGGGGCGCCTGGGTGGCTCAGTTGGTTGAGCGACTGCCTTCGGCTCAGGTCATGATCCCGGAGTCCCGGGATCGAGCCCCGCATCGGGCTCCCTGCTCCGCGGGAAGCCTGCTTCTCCCTCTCCCACTCCCCCTGCTTGTGTTCCCTCTCTCGCTGTGTCTCTCTCTGTCAAATGAATAAATGGGATCTTTAAAAAAAAATAAAAAAAATAAAAAATAAAAGATAAATAAAAAAATAAGTAAATAAAGAACGCTTGGGAAGGTGCTCACCTCTTTGCAGAAAAACCAGCATACCAGTCACGAAACGCTCACACACGGACACTCCAGACTACTCGGAGCTTGCCCGTGACAAAGGACAAAAACACTGCAAGCACACCCCACGGGGCACACAGACACGGTCACATGTGGGCGTCGGCTCTCGGGCCCTCTGTGCTCTTGCTGTTACGAACGGTTTTCAGGACTAAAGAGACCTAAGGGTGCTGGGTGTTCAAGCTCCATGAAAGTTTCAGGCTCCTCCTTTTGTTTTCCTTCAACGACACTACTTCTTTCTCTCCAATTAATAATAAAAGCGAAACAAGCTAATGCCTATGATGGGGGGGCGGTGGGCAGAAGGTTAATATTAGCTAAAAGCAATACGACTGATTCCCCTCCAAGGACAAAGAAAATAATCAGGCCGTATGATTAGAAAAACAGTGTAATTCAAAGCATTTCATGCTTGAAGTTAACATCCACACCAGGCAAAAATGGAGAAGAGCGCCCGGAACCTCTCAGACACTGAAGTTCCACCACCCGTGGGAGGAAGGGCCCCTCCTCCTCCTCGCCCTGCTGCCCATCGGAAGGACAGCAGAGGCCCGCCAGGTTGCGGGGACGGGCTCTGGGAGCAGCACCGGCGTGTCTGCACCCCATCTATAGAGAGCTCTACTCAGCAGGCCTCTCGGAATCGCTGCTGCCTTTCTCCTTCCTCCACAATGGGCCAGTTCAGCAGCAACAGGTTTGCAGAGGGAAGCACGCGCCTCCCAAGACCGCAGACCCAGGGCTTGGTCCCTGCCTACCCCGCAGCTAACAGACACTCGTCACACCGACCAACCTCTGCTAGTTCCGGGTCACACTAAGGTTTAGGTGGACGAAGACTAAAACATCTGAGCCAACGTCTGCAAATCTGTGTGCCCCCTACGGGGCACACCGTCCCTGGAAGCTCGGTTCAGTGTGTCTGCAGAGACTGCCGTCTCCGCGAGGTGCACACACACGTCTGGAAAAGCCCGTGGGGCCCCTCGAGGTGCCCAGTTACCTAGCAAGTGAGCGGTCAGAGGCTCTGCTCCGTGGGCAGCAGCTTCAGGCCCTTCTGCAGGGTCTCCAGAGAGCCCGCTCACAGAGCCTGCAGCCCACCATGCCGACAGCAGCCCGTCTCCGGGTGGCGTGGGGTGTGATTTTTATGCCTGGAGACTCCCCAGCGGACGTGGAAGTGCATTAAGGACTGACCCTGATGAATTATTCGCATGGCTGAATTCATCTATCTGTCACGCAGTAGCCGCCGTCCACAATATTAACGACTCTGCATGTTTGATCACCGTGATACAGACTCTTTCCATCATCATTAGGAACGGGGAAGGCCCCAGCCTTGGGCGCCAAGCCAGGTCAGTAAAACTTTCCATGAGGAAAGATTTTGTTCTCTCCCAGAGCAGCCTGGGCTCGGGGACGAGGGGGAGCAGAGCGGGGGGCTCACGGCCGGGACTTGGGCAGACACGATCCTGGCCGCCTGGTCCACCTGCTTGTTGTTTTAATGACATGGAGACTTCTGGAAACCCGAGCGCTCCTGGCGGGGGCTGAAAGGGCTGATTGTGGCGGAGGCTGCAGGGCGGTCGGGGAGACAGCGGCGGCTGAAGTGCAGACACACCAACGCCTGGCCAGCAAGCGCGTCACTTGCAAAGCTCGAAGGAGGTGCTCTGTTCCAGCCAACAGTTGCTCCGCCTGTGTGGGTCCCCCTCACGTGAAGTCTGGGACCAAGCCTGTGCGCTTCAGGCGTGTTTGGAGTACCTTTCCAGCAAATGCTGTACACAAGACCATGCCCCGTGACGTGTGCATGCACCTGTGAACTGCCCACATGCACACGTCCGTGAATGAAAGGACAGCCTATCACCGCAAGAGCTGCAGTCACGTAGTTCGGTTCCGTACACGGCCACTCACAGAAGTCGCACCACAGGAATCGCTCACTGGAGCTTTTACGGCCTCGTTTGAAAATCTACATTTAAAGTAACAGGAGGCCCATAAAACGACTCTTTTAAAAACGTACGCTTGTGGTTCTGCCACGATTGAGAAGTCTAAATTGAGAGTTTAAGTCTTGTGAGTGTTGTTGGACCAAAGAATAAATTGTAACTGGTTTATTTATGGGCCAAATACTTTTGAAACAAAACTGGAGAACAGACACAACTGAAAAAGAGAGAAATCCTAAAAACAAAGCGGGGGTTCATTTTCAGGCAAGTTGTCTTATGCTTATGTTCTTCCTTAGGAGAAAGAGAAGCCTGGAAAGTGGACCCTTCCGCATTGGTGGGGTCCCTCGGCAGAGGCGGCGGCACCCCAGGGGCCGCTCCCGCGTGAACCAGGCTGGTCACAACTGCTCACGTGCCCCAAGTGCCCCAGCTCTCTGCCACGGCACAGAACACCCTGTCCTCGCCTTTTTCATTCTGTGTTCCTGGGAAACAAAAAACCCAAATACTACTCCAGTGTGGAACCCCAAACCGCCGCCAGGACTTCTGAATGGTGGTTTGGGTGGAGCCGGCGAGCAAATGCCCGACAGAAATGCGTAAAGGTCAGAGTGTCACACTCTGGCTGTGGCTTCCGTCCTGCGCATGGACGGACTCCAGAAACGTCGCTGCTTTGGAGGGCAAGGCCAGGTGGAGCGCCTGCCACCTGACTGTTCACCACGGGGGCTGGCCCTCGCCGGCCGGGCCCTGAGTCTCTCCCTGTGGCTGCTGGAAAGCCGTGTGTGAATCCCGCGTGCAGCCCCAGCCCCTGGGAACCCGCAGAGCCCGCGTGCCTCTGGGAGAAGGACGCGGCTTCTCCAGCAGGCCGTCACGGGGCCCGAGGTCCTGCTGTCCCATCGCTGGTGTTCCCAGGAAGTGGGCCCTGCCCCCGACCTGAAGCCGCCCCGGCCTCCGCCCTCTGCTCGCCGAGCGGCGTGCGGAAGGAAGGCTTTCACGTCGAGGCCACTTCAAATCCACGGCGTCTCATTTTCTAACTTAGTTTTTTGCTACTGTTTCCATTTCTGCAAATTCAGACCTGAGCCACAGAGGTAAGACCCGGGCCCTGTGCCACCTGCCGTCACCGCAGCCTGCCGCCGAATCCGCGACACTGCCTCACACACCAGAAACGTCCCTCGGAGCAGCTCACTGACCACATGTCAGCAGGGTGGGCGAGGAGGATGAAAGAGGCTGAGACGTCCAACAGCAGAAGGAGCTATGACTTCAGCAGGGGCAGCATGCCCACTCCAGAGAGGCTCCTGTGGGCTGAGCCGGCGGGGGGC